TGTAGCAGTCAGCCAACTACCACCCACCCATCAGCCAGCACCATCAGCCAGCCCACCCACCCAGCAGCACCCACCGCAGCACACCAGCAGCCACACCGCAAACCCAAGACCGGCACCAGCAGCCACCATCTATACACCGTTCCAGTCTTTCACTCTTTCCTTAGTGTAATATGGTTCACCTCTCATGGAGAATGACATACATGGTTTCTCCATCCCTGTTCGACAATACAAAAGATAAGAAAGAGAGCATGAAATTCACAACTACACTACCATGTAACATACCTAGTACAATCATCTAAGAATCCTTGAGAACAATTATCGCAAGACAAATGACAATCTTTTTACTACCACTCACTACTTTGTATCGTCAATATGGCTTCAGGAAAGGTTACTCCCTGCTGCTGATCTGTTGTTAAACCTCTCCACTAAGTGGCACCAGTCACTGGATGAATCCAAAGTCAGCTGTGTGGTAGCACTGGACATTGCTGGCGCTTTCGACCGGGTGTGGCACCAGGGCCTCTTAGCAAAACTTCAAGCACTGGGAATTGCAGGCTCTATGCTATGTCTCCTCAGTGATTACCTTCATGGTAGATCTCTAAGTGTAGTCCTCAATGGAATGGAATCAGCAAGGCATCCTATTGGGGCAAGCGTTCCACAAGGAAGCGTGCTGGGTCCACTGTTATGGAATGTCTACTTCAACGACCTCTTCATCTCATCCCAGAATCACATGCATATGCAGACGACTGTACACTGACATTCACTTATCCAAGAGAAGAAATGCCAGCTGCTCTAAGCTACATCAATCACCAGCTGAGAGCTATATCAGCTTGGGGAAATAGATGGCAAGTAACATTTGCACCTGAGAAAACGCAAATGATGATCGTCTCTAGGCACCATGATGGTAATGCTGGTGCAGTAGTAAGGATGAATGGGACGATGTTGGCACCTGGAGAAGAAGTTGATATCCTTGGGGTGAAATTTGACTCCAAACTAACCATGAAGAACCATGTTGTAAATCTTGCAAACATGGCAGCCAGGAAGCTTACAGCACTTCGCCGTATCTCGCACCTGCTTGACAGTAGGGGTTGCAAGATCCTGTACGAGGCACAAGTACGCTCACACCTTGAGTATGCTCCACTTTCTTGGTTTGCCTGCCCCCCCTCTCATCTGTGACTGCTTGACAGAGTAGAGAACAGAGCAAGACGTCTCATCTCTCGCCTGGACCCATCCTGGATAGATCTGTCATTTCAGCAGAGCCTTCAACATAGGAGGGATGTGGGTGGCCTTACTGTTATGTACAAGGTCAATATTATCAAAATACCACACTTGGATCCACTTCGAGGACAGCGTGAAGCAAGCTTTTATGCCACAAGACGGGCAGAAAGCAGCAACTTCACTCTGGCTGTACCCTTCTCCAGAACATCACTCCATCTGAGATCATACATACCCAGGATGACTCGAGTATGGAACACATTCGTACAGCATAATGATGTCAACGAGATAAAGTCAGTTGATCAAATGAAAATGCTGGCCCACAGATGGCTCCAACTTCATCCTGTCCCGTACTTGTATGTCTCATAACAATAAAAATGCTTTCAAATGAGCTGATGTAGGTAACAGCTCTTAGCTTGCCAATAAAGTTAGGAATCCTTAACCTGTAATATAGCTGTCAATAAAGCTAGGGATCCTTAACCTTGTCAAACCCTGTGTAAAAAAAAAAAAAAAAAAAAAAAAAAAAAAAAAAAAAAGAGATAGAGAGATAGATAGAGATATAGAGAGATAGAGAGATAGATAGATAGAGAGAGAGAGAGAGAGAGAGAGAGATAGAGAGAGATAAGAAGAGAGAGATAAGAAGAGAGATAGAGAGAGAGAGAGAGAGAGAAGAGAGAGAGAGACAGAGACAGAGACAGAGAGACAGAGAGACAGAGAGACAGAGAGACAGAGAGACAGAGAGACAGAGAGACAGAGAGACAGAGAGACAGAGAGACAGAGAGACAGAGAGACAGAGAGACAGAGGAGAGAGACAGAGAGACAGAGAGACAGAGAGGAACAGAGATAGAGAGAGAACAGAGTGAGAGAGGACAAGAGAAGAGAGAGTACAGAGAGAATACAGATGAGAGATACAGAGTAGAGAGAGATACAGAGATAGAGAGAGATACAGAGATAGAGAGAGATACAGAGATAGAGAGAGATACAGAGATAGAGAGAGATACAGAGATAGAGAGAGATACAGAGATAGAGAGAGATACAGAGATAGAGAGAGATACAGAGATAGAGAGAGATACAGAGATAGAGAGAGATACAGAGAGAGATAGATACAGAGAGAGATACAGAGAGAGATACAAAGAGACAGCCACATTCGGTCAGCCAGTCAGCCAACTACCCACCCACCCATCCAGCCAGCCACCCATCCAGCCAGCCACCCACCCACCCAGCCAGCCACCCACCCAGCCAGCCACTCACCCAGCCAGCCACCCACCCGGCCAACCACAGACCCGGCCACCCAGCCAGCCAGCCGGATACGTATTACACACGTTCCAGAGTTGTTTCTCTTTACTTAGGGTATAGGTTACACAACATTCTGGCAGGATGACACTACCAGTGGTATTCTCCCATTCCACTGTGTCGACAATACATAAAGATAATAGTAACATATGATACTGTATGCGATGTAAAATTTACAATACATATCACTACCATGTATACATTATATACAGTACATAAATAATTAAAATACAACAATAGAAGTAAATTATGGTAAAAAGAATGAAATAATGATTGTACATTACATTACAGTATTATGTAGGTAGTTTATATAGGAAAGGTTTGACATTATGCCCTACCCAATATGTCGGCAATTTTCAAAGGTTCGACTTGCGTCCATTTCGACTTACGACCAGTTGGTCGGAACCAAGCTTGGTCGTAAGTCGGATGGTAGGTGTATACATTTTTTCAACATTTGAAAGTATGTAAAAAAGTAGACCTTTTTGTGTTTTTACATTTGAAAATGTGTAAAAAAAACTTTGATCTACTTTTGGAGCACTGCACACGTGAACGTAGATCTGCTTGGACCATTTACGGGTTAAATATTCTATGGAGAGGAAGAATAGATATTGGAGTCATCCCACAGTCACTAAAAACAACAAATATAGCCCCATTCCACAAAGGTGGCTCTCAAGAAATTACGTACAAAGAATTAGACTGATCACACTAATGTCCTGCATCATAAAAAATCACTGAAAGGGTTCTAAGAAGCAAGATTGCCAACCACTTGGATACACATCAATTGCACACCCAAGGGCAACATGGGTTTAGAGCAGGTCACTCCTGCCTCTCACAACTAATGGGCCACTATGAAATGGTCTTGGATGCACTGGAGGACAAACAAAATGCTGATGTAGTATACAGACTTTGCGAAAGCAGTCGACATGTGTGATCATGGTATAATAGCACACAAAATGTATGATAAACAAATAACATGAAAAGTGGGTAGATGGATCTGTAACTTCCTAACAGATAAAACAGAGTAATAATCAGAGGCACCTACACTGAAAAGCTGTTCCACAAGATACAGTACTTGCTTCCATCCTGTTCCTCATATCTGACAGATGTAAGCCACAGCACCATGTCCTCCTTTGCTGACAATACCAGAATTTGCATGACAGTGTCATCTATCGGGGACACTGCAGACCTTCAAGCAGACATTTACCAAGTCTTTAAATGGGCCTCAGAAGACAATTTGAAGTTCAATGAACACAAGTTTCAATACTCCGCCATGGAAAACTCAAGGAAATAAAAATTGGATCGGAGTACAAAAATTCCAACCACATAATAGAGCAAAAAAAAAAAACTAGTGTGAAGGACCTCGGAGTGATAATGTCAAAAGAATCTCACATTCAAGGATCACAACAATATCTCTACCACATTTGCTAGGAAAATGATAGGTTGGATAATGAGAACCTTCAAAACTAGGGATGCGAAGCCTTCAAATCGCTTCTCTCTAGGCTGGAATATTGCTGTATAAAAATGGCCTCTTTCAAGGCAGGCAAAACTGCAGAACTGGAGAATATACAGAGAACTTTCACTGCATGTACAAGTACAATAAAGCAACTAAATTACTGGGAATGACAGAAGTCCCTTGACCTGTACTCCTTAGAATGCAGGTGAGAAAGATACATGATAATATACACTTGGAAAATCTGAAGAGGGACTAGTTCTAAATCTGCATATGGAAATCACTCCCTACTAAAGCCAAAGACTTGGCAGTGTGACATCCCCCACCCCCAATGAAAAGCAGGGGAGCCATGAGTACACTAAGTGACAACACAGTAAGTGTCAGGGGCCCAGAACTGTTCAACTGCCTCTCAGCATATAGAAGATAGATTACCAATAGACCCCTGGCTGTCTTCAAGAGGGTGCTGGAAAGGCAACTGACGTCAGGTCCAATCAGGCTGTGGTTTGTATGTCTGTTTGTATGCAGCCAGCAGTAACAGTCCAGTTGATCAGGCCCTGATCCACTGCGAGACCTGGTCATGGATCGGGGGCGTTGACCTCCGGACCACCCTCCAGGTATAGAGTACTTGGGCCAATTATCATCAACCTGACAACTTTGTCTGAAGGATCTTGATATTCACAATACCATATGTAGTCATACACTGAAGGAGGGAATACCAGAGACAGTACTGCTGAGAAACTACACATCACTGATAAAGTAATGGTGGGATTATTGCACAAAAATACTCTACACTAATCCCACTCATTTCTTGATTTGTTTACAACAGAGTTATTACAATTCTGAGTCACATCAATACACTGAAAAATGTACACAAGTATGTAACTTCCAGTATACAAGAGACTAGCAAACCTCAGACATGGGTATATTTGTACGAGATGAAATAGTGTTACTTAAGACCAGAGTTTACACCCTCATTATCTAAATATCCCTACACCTAGACATTTCATTGATTATTTAAAAGTACGCACAGCCTTTAGTAACTCACCGAGGTACAGTAATTATAAACGTGTGTATAAAGTTGCATGTAGCGAGGTCTCGACATTTCTTGACTATTGTAGACCTGTAGAATAACAAGGAACAACAGTTACAACACAATTTTTTTTACATTATTGAAAATTTCGTCAAATAAAATTGGAAAGTCAATATATCAGTCATCAAAAGTTCAAATTTTTTTTACAATGATCGGTCAACAATATTGAAATAAAATTATAATCCCACACCTACCCCCCAACAGCAGCTTAACAGTTACTGGCAACATCTTAAGTCTTTTAAACGTCTACCACAACATTCTTCATGTTGCTCTCAAATGCCAACATCCCTATACATAAATAGACCACTCATGGGAAATAAACTTGTGATGACGTTTCGGTCTGACTCGTAATGATGTGATCTTGCAAAACCACAACAATCCCACTCATCCTTCAGAGTGCAAGCACTGTGCACTCCCTATCCAAAATACTTTTGTACATAAAAGCCAATGGAATCTGTCAATGGTAAAGAATTTAAAAAAATAAAAGTTGTCAATAATTCTTTGTGACAGGACATTTAACAATCTTGCAATTTTCTTTCCCACTTATTCTATCAATTGCCTGTTTTGCAAAAGTTGCAGGAAAATCTACTGTTCACTTCATTCAATATCCCTTTAAACCCTGACAATGTTGCAAGTTGAAAATTAATCATCTGAAATGACACCAAAAATGAGAAATTTGATGGAAAACTTACAGAATTACACATGCACAAAGTTGGCAGTCTAAGCACAATTTATGCATTAGTGACTTCACCAAATCTAATTCAACCTATTTCTAAGCTATTTCGCTAGTATGCCTTCCATTCCATAAACTACAGTGGACCCCCGGTTATCGGCCGGTTCTGTTATCGGCCAACTCAGTGATCAGCTGGTTTTTCAGTGCCCAGTTATTGGCCGTTAATTCTGTGATCAGCCGTCTGGGACGTGTCCATCTGCCGGTTCGAGCTGCTTGCGCGTCAGTTTGCCTCTCTCTCGGTGGCCGAGGAAGCTTCTGTTCACAAATCCAAACATTTTTGCTTATTTCCCATTGTAGTTTGTATTATTTTTGCAGTAAAACTGTGAAATAAGTAACCATGGCTCCAAAGGAAGTTCCTGTGGTAAAGAAAGTGAGAAACACCATGGAATTTAAGTGTGAAGTGATAGAAAAGTTTGAGAGTGGTACGAGGAAGCTGGAACTTGCAAGGATGAACGGCAAGAATAAATCAACAATTACATCCATCGGCAAAGAAAGAACAAATCAAGGATGCTAATGTTGCAAAAGGAGCAACTTTTCGAACTAAACAAAGGCCACCAATAATGGAGAGATGGAAAAGTTATTATTGTGGATTAAGGAAAAAGAATTAGTGGGAGACATTGTGGAGTTGATTATCTGTGAGAAGGGAAAGCAGTTGCATGAGGATCTTGCAAAGCAAATGCCTGGAACAAGTGCTGCAGTTTGTGAATTCAGATCCAGCAAGGATGATTTGATAGATTTTAAGAAGCGTAGTGGCATATACAGTGCTGTAAGGCATGGTGAGGCTGCAAGTTCTGACAAATGTGCAGCTGAAAAATTCGTGCAGGAATTCCAGGGGTACACAGAGGCTGAAGGATTCAAACCCCAACAAGCGTTCAATTGTGACAAAACAGGCCTGTTTTGGAAGAAAATGTCAAACAGAGCCTACATTACTCAGAAGGAAAAGGCACTTCCAGGACACAAGCCTATGAAAGACAGGCTTACTCCTTTGTTGTGTGGTAAAGCTAGTGGGGCTTTTAAAGTGAAGCCTTGACTCATCACTCAGAAAATCCCAGTGTTCAAGAAAAACAATGTCCTGAAGAAAAGACTGTGTATGATATGGAAAGCTAATCATAAGGCATGGGTCACAAGGCAAATTTTCAGAGTGGGTTATTGATGTGTTTGGCCCCAGTGTGAAAAAATACCTCCTGGAAAATAAATTGCCACTCAAGTGCCTCCTGGTACTGGGCAATGGTTCTGCACATCCTCCAGACCTGAAAGACCAAGTGATTAGGGACTTAAATTTTATAGAAGTGAAGTTCTTGCCTCCTAACACCACTCCTTTCCCCCAGCCCACGGACCAGCAGGTCATTTCAAACTTCAAAAAACTCTACACAAAAAAAGCAGTGTTTCAAAAGCGCTTCGAAGCTCGGTTGACCCTAAGAGAGTTCTGGAGGAATCACTTCACTATCCTCCAATGCATAAGCCTTATAGGTAAGGCTTGGGAGGGAGTGACTTCCAGGACTTTGAACTCTGCTTGGAGAAAACTGTGGCCAGATTGTATCCGAGAGAGGGATTTTGAAGAGTGAGGCTGACCCTGACCCTGCCGACCCTGTGGACTATTGTGGCACTGGGAAAGTCCCTGGGGTTGGAGGTGAGTGGCGAGGATGTTGAAGAGTTGGTGGAGGACCACAGGGAAGAGCTAACCACTAAAGAGCTGCAAGAGCTTCAACTTGAACAGCAACAAGCTGCAGCTGAGGAACTTGCTTCAGAGGAGGAGGAAGAGGGAATGAAGGATGTACCTTCTTCATTAAGAACATTTGTGCAAAGTGGAATGATGTGCAAAATTTTGTTGAGAAGTACCACACTGACAAAGCTGAAACAAGCCATATCTGCAACATGTTTAGTGACAAAACCCTGTCCCACTTCAAGGGAATCTTAACCCTTTCAGGGCCGACAGGCCCTCTCAGTGAGGACTTGATCTCAGGGTCGGCCAAATTTCAAAAAAAAAAAAAATAATTTTTTATTATGAAGATAGAGAATCTTTTCCCAATCATAATGACACCAAAAGTATGAAATTTGATGGAAAACTTACAGAATTATGCTCTCGCAGTTGGCAGTCTCAACGCTGTTTACGCATTGGCTATTTTGCCCACTTTGAGCCCTATTTACGGCCAATTCCAGTGTACTTGTCGACAAAAATCATAACTATTTCGCTAGAACTTCATTTTTTCTATTGAATGAGTACAAGAAACCACCCATTTCCCGATTTCAACTATACAATAAAGTGGTCAGAATTGAGCAATTTTGCCAATTTCACACAAATTTCAAAAGATGCCAATTTCCGAATAGGGCCCAGAATAAACAAGAGACATTCCTGGCACTAAAATAGCATTTCCTCTGTTCATTAGTCACGTCCCCATGCCCCTATTACATTCTTTTGCTTTCCACTTTGAATTTTTATTCTCACAAAAAAATAGATTTACTGTTATGCAGACTACTGCATTGGTGTAGAAATGGTATAAATAATATCAGTGCACTTGTGAAAGAATATTAGACTCACCAGTTGACGTGTATTGGACGCATAGCATGATTTGTTTACTTTTAAACTTTGGTAAAAATCGAACATTTCTGCTAATTTGAGCGCAATTTCAAGGTACTTTTCATTGTAAAACCAGTCAAAATCAACTCAATTTCTGTAATATGTCTACCATTCTATAAAATGAGACCAGGAAAACTAGAATACAACAATAAATACCATACGAAAATACAGTGCTATATCGCTGTTTTAATCAAAAAACATGGTCAAAGTTTTTTTTTTCTCATTACGCACTGTGTGCTGCAGGATTTTTTTTATACCGCACACACTGACCACAGACCCATTCTTTCATATGTAGGCCTACTCTCAGTAGTAGTACCAGTTCCTAGTAACCAGTTCCTAGTAACCAGTTCCTAGTAACCAGTTACCAGTAACCAGTGTACCAGTAGATGACTCACTACCAACCGTCTGCGTGAATCACTGACTGATTATTCATATTGCTGCTGACCATAGCAGGATTTCAAACACCCGTCACCCGTAGGCACTTTGAGAGTCAGTCGAAGATAGAGAGCAGAGAGAGGCAGGTCGGCTGTTGGTGCTTTCCCATACTTTCCGTTATATTACACATACTACCAGCCTACTTGAGTATTCTTACCCATCCACGTTATCGAAAACCCACAGGAGGAGCAAGAAATAGAGTAGACACCAGGAACATCTGTAGAGGGAGGAGAGGTATGAACGAGATGAGTGCGAAGAGTGTTAGTCTGGTGGAAGGTAAGCTTGATGTCTAAGGGACTAACACACTTCGCACTAATCTCGTTCATACCTCTCCTCCCTCTACAGATGTTCCTGGTGTCTACTCTATTTCTTGCTCCTCCTGTCCTCTTCAATACTTCGGAGAAACTGGTCGATCTCTTTCTGACAGACTTAGGGAGCACAAAAATAGTGTTAGGCTTGCCGACACTAACAATGCTCTTTTCTGTCACGTCAGAGATCATAGCCATCCTACTGACTGGTCTTCTGCTAAAACTGTCTTCCCTACTTCCAACTCAAACAGTCGCAGTCTAGTTGAATCCTCTCTAATACACAACTTTCCTTGTATGAACCTTAGCCCTGGCTTTGTCTCTGTAGATGCCTTCCTCTCCCACTACATTGTAAAATGCTCCAAACTTCAGAAGACCCGTGACTTAACCTGACTCCTCATTTTTTCTTCTTTTTCTTCTTCTCCCTCTTCCCCTTTCCTCTTTCCTTTTCTCCTCTGGGTTGTCTTTCTCTCTTCTGTCTTGTGTTTCTGTTCCTTCTTCATTTATTTCACCACTTCCCCTTTCACGCACCTCTGTGCACTTGCTCTCCCTCTGTGGGCACCTAGCTCTCTTGCAGTGCTCCCCTTCCTTTGTATTTGATTGGCTCGTCCTCCTTATTCCCCACTTCTACCACTACCTCTTCTACTACTACTACTACTACTATTACTACTACTACTGATGAAATTAAGACATGTGCGGCGTCTGGTTGTCTTTGTTGTGGACGTTTCGCCATCCATTGGCTGGCTGGATGGCGAAACGTCTACGATAGGGATGCCCGGGTGTTGCGCATGTGTCTTAATTTCATCTTGTCGGTATTATATACCATTCTTGAACTACTACTACTACCACCACATCTTCCTGCCTATATATAGCCGTCCTGCCCCACTTCTAGTTAGTGCGACTTTCTAAATGGTCCAAGTCGGACGGAAACATCGTCGTAAGCTTCTCTCTTTTATGTGCGGGTTATTTGTGTAACCTT